CTGCCACGCACGCTCCATATACCTCACTTGGGAATTCCTATCAACAATACTCAAATATTTTTACCCTGGCATTTCTTGGCGTAATTCTTGCTCTCTTCTTTAGTGTCTGGATCCTCTATATAACCTCTCCTCCATGGAGTGTTAGATCATTCAGACTGTGGTGGATATGTGGGCTTGCTAACTGCCGAAGGCAACAGCCTGGTTGACCAGACAGTCAAGAGGGAGGCCGCCGCCTCGACCCAGGTGGGGTTGGGGAGGAGCACAGTGAACCAGTTACCAACTTAAATCAACTTGTTATCGTAAACTATTGTGGAAAGCTGTTCACAAAATGTGAAGTTAATAGTGGAGGATGTAGCATCCCCGAGTGCGTCGTGAAACATAGATGCTGGCGCTGCTGTCGTCAGGAGAGTGGCGTCAAAGTTACGTCACTCCTTCGTCACAGGTACGTCAGGAGTGCGTCACTGGAGGCAGCAGGACTGACCTTGGATGTATGAGAGCGGTGATTGGCTAGCAATGGTAACCTCCCTAACCCACCAACAGCGGATGTCCCTACTTCAACCTTCTCTCTCCTCTCTCTCTCTCTCTCTCTCTCTCTCTCTCTCTCTCTCTCTCTCTCTCTCTCTCTCTCTCTCTCCATTCCAGCCACCATTGATGCCGAAATAAACAAGTATACTTGCTTCTGTAATGGCCGTTCCAAGACCACTACCAATCTAACCTTAACTCATCTAACTTGTTAGGTAAGACACATATGCAACAGTTAGGTATCTTTATTTTGAAACGTTTCGCCTACACAGTAGGCTTCTTCAGTCGAGTACAGAAAAGTTGATAGAAGCAGAAGATACTTCTATCAACTTTTCTGTACTCGACTGAAGAAGCCTACTGTGTAGGCGAAACGTTTCAAAATAAAGATACCTAACTGTTGCATATGTGTCTTACCTAACAATCTGTCGGTATTTTATACCATTTTAATGTTCATCTAACTTGACAAAAAAAAAATAGGGAAGGGGTTGGATTCAAACCCCACCCGTTCCGTGGCCTGTTTACAATCGTGTAATTGCGATTTCGTAAGTCATAACTTACTCAAAGTTCAACAGGAACTCTTCAGGGAAGTTGCTGCAGGTCCTTGCTACAACACTTGTTGTGTACCAGTTTTTCTGTACAAACCTGTACTGTTCCTGTATACTTTACATAGATCAAGGCTAAAGGATTGAACACCTTCTATAGAATGTTTTATAGTTCCGGCTAAGGGATTTGAACGACTTCAAAATATATAGCCAGAAAATTATTGCATTTGACCACGCCCATAGCAATGCTTACCCTGAACATTAAAATGGTATAAAATACCGACAGGTTGTTAGGTAAGACACATATGCAACAGTTAGGTATCTTTATTTCGAAACGTTTCGCCTACACAGTAGGCTTCTTCAGTCGAGTATAGAAAAGTTGATAGAAGCAGAAGATACTTGAAGACGATGTAATCAGTCCATCACCCTTAAAGTTTTGAGGTGGTCAGTCCCTCAGTCTGGAGAAGAGCATTGTTCCATAGTCTGAAACAATATGGAGATGAAGTGACAGGATGGAGCCTTATATAGCGCCAAGAGGTGAGACGTAGGTCACTAGAAGAGGTAAGAACTCAGATGTTGGGAGGTCAGGTCCCTCTCAAATCTAGTAGAGGTTGTCGAAGTTGATTGTAGGTCTGTACCAAGATACCCTTGTGTCGCAGTGTCTGACAGGCTCAATCCTGTCACTTCTTCTCCATATTGTTTCATACTATGGAACAATGCTCTTCTCCAGACTGAGGGACTGACCACCTCAAAACTTTAAGGGTGATGGACTGATTACATCGTCTTCAAGTATCTTCTGCTTCTATCAACTTTTCTGTACTCGACTGAAGAAGCCTACTGTGTAGGCGAAACGTTTCGAGATAAAGATACCTAAACTGTTGCATATGTGTCTTACCTAACAATGCTTACCCTGTGGAAATAAATGGTATAAAATACCGTCACAATGGAAATATAAACACATATGCAGTATAATATGATCCTTTATTGACTACGTTTCGCCCACACAGTGGGCTTTTTCAAGTCACAAAACCCAGGTAGATCTGTTTGTGACTTGAAAAAGCCCACTGTGTGGGCGAAACGGAGTCAATAAAGGATCACATTATACTGCATGTGTGTTTATATTTCCAATGCTTACCATCAACACCAACAGTCTTGTTGAATTATTACTACCACACCTGACCTCTCCCCTGTTACCTGACTTCTCCCATTACCTGAGCTGCTGTAGAGGTGGATGAGTGAAACTCCCGAATATCATCATAGAAGCCAAAACGTTGTGTATTGTTAAAAATTGGTTTAGATAAATACATGAGTGGGTGTGAGTTGAACCTGACTAACGTGGATGTGACCTGGACCTAACAAGGTTGGGGCAGTGGCATAGCCGGTAGGCGACTTGGACCTGCCTCGCGTGGGCCAGTAGACCTGCTACAGTGTTCCTTCTTGCTTATACTCTCAGTAATAAGAACATAAGAATGGAGGAACACTGCAGAAGGCCTACTGGCCCATGCGAGGCAGGTCCTTGCAATCACTACGTTGTGCATCACGTAGGAGATGCTGCAGGAGGTCTACCTACCTGGTGTCTACCTGGAGGTTATTCCGGGGATCAACGCCCCCGCGGCCTGGTCCACGACCAGGCCTCCCGGTGGATCAGAACCTGATCAACGAGATTTTGTGAGGCAGGAAGAGGGTCCCGTGGGAATCACTATTGAGACATCAAATTATACTCATCAAAGATTATATCCGTCTATTATTGACTATAATAACTCTTCTGTTATTAAGATCAGACTTATTGGGCAGTAATTTGATATGCAACGGTTGGGTATCTTGTTGGAACGTTTTGCCTACACAGTATTCTTCAGTCAGATACAGAGGCAGCAAGTGTAGTAGTGTGATGAATGGTTTTGAAAACCGACAAGTTGAATAATTGAGACACTTATGCAACACATGGGAATCTTTATTGAAAAAACGTTTCGCCACACAGTGGCTTCATCAGTCCAATACAAAGTAGAATTGGGTAAGGAGAGAACATAAGAACATAAGAAAGGAGAAGTTTGAGGTAATCAGTCCCTCTCTGGCCCTATGCTGCACTTCCTACAAGAGTGATGGACTGAACACACCGATTCCAGGTTGAGGGACTGATTACCTCAAACTTCTCCTCTCCTTACCCATTTCTACTTTGTATTGGACTGATGAAGCCACTGTGTGGCGAAACGTTTCTTCAATAAAGATTCCCATGTGTTGCATAAGTGTCTCAATTCTTCAAGTGTAGTAGTGAAATGAAGATGTAATCAGTACGTCAACCTTGGTGATATGAGGTAGTCAGTCCCTCCATGGTCTGGACAGTTATTTGGTGACATGCCATACCGATGATCCTCTTCAAGTCACCTGTTCTCTCTAAGCTGGAATAAGAACATGAAGAAGGAACACTGCAGCAGGTCTACTGGCCCATACGAGACAGGTCCATGTTACCCCCAACTTAGACCAATGATCCACCTAGTCAGGTCACATCCACTTAACGAAGGGGCACGGCATCAGATCCACTAGCACAAGCTAGTCAGGTCCAGCTCACACCCGCTCATGCATTTATCTAACCTATTTTTAAAACTACACAAGGTTTTAGCTTCTATGACGGTACTCGGGAGTTTGTTCCACTCATCCACAACTCTATTGCCAAACTAGCGTTTCCCGGAAAACGTACAGAGGAGGATGACAAAGATGATCCCATGTATCAGAAATCTTCCCTATGAGGATAGACTGAGGACCCTGAATCTGCACTCTCTAGAAAGGCGTAGAATTAGGGGGGATATGATTGAGGTGTATAAATGGAAGACAGGAATAAGTAAAGGGGATGTAAATAACGTGGTGAAAATATCTAGCCTAGACAGGACTCGCAGCAATGGTTTTAAGTTGGAAAAATTCAGATTCAGGAAGGATATAGGAAACAGTCCCTGGTCAGTCCCTCAGCCTCCAGACTGAGGGACTGACCACCTCAAATACTTTTTCTCCGAGGTTAAGGGACTGTTCACACCATCTTTATTCCATCATTACTCTTGCCTGTGTATTTGACTGAAGAAATCTACTGTGTAGGCGAAACGTCTCATCAATAACGATACACAAGTGTTACACATGTGTCTTAATCTTCTACCAGGAACTGGTTGTCTAAATTACCAGTCGCAGAATGCTGCTCCATTTGGCTTAAATTAAAATTCACCGGAATTACGATAGTCACTGCGCGCTAGAAATAGACATGACGTAATTATGTGATGTTTCGCCCATTGGTTTTGGGTTTTATCAGTCCAATACACGACTTAAATCAATAGAATATATAGTGGATAGCGGTTAGTGTGAAGAAAACGTGTTTAGTATTTTATATGGGTCAGTAGGTCTATACAATAGGCCTATGCTGTATAGGAATCTACTCGTTTTGGGAGTCTGAAGGGAGCTGCAGCAACAGAAAATAGGAGATGCAACAACAGTAGCAGAAGCAACAACAGTAGCAGAAGCAACAACAGTAGCAGAAGCAACAACAGTAACAGAAGCAACAACAGTAACAGATGCAACAACAGTAACAGATGCAACAACAGTAGCAGAAGCAACAACAGTAGCAGAAGCAACAACAGTAGCAGAAGCAACAACAGTAACAGATGCAACAACAGTAACAGAAGCAACAACCTAAGCAACAACAGCAGCTGAAGGAGCAACAAAAGTAAGAAACAGCAACAGTAGGATTAATAACAGAAGAAGGTTCAACAGTAACAACAGGAGGAATAACTGCAGAAGCAGAAATCTCAAGATCAGCCCACAACAGTAACTGCAGCATTGTGGGGGTGGTGTGTTGGGGTCGGGCGTGGTAAGGTAGGGTGGTGGTGGTTGGGTGGGGTGGTAGTAGTGGTGGTGATGGTGGTGGTGGTGGTGGTGGAAGGCCTCTGTGAGAGGCAAGCAGCGTTTAGTGAGACACTGACAGTTGTGGTGTGAGCACAATCCTGTGTCCTCCCTCTCTAGTGATCTTGTTCTCTCACTCGCTCGCTCGTCATCTCCGAGAGATTTATCTCTTACACACACGTGTGAATCTAGTGATTCGTGTAAGGAAAAATCTGTGATAAAAAGGAGATTACAGTAGTGAAGACTGTGAAAGTGCCAGGGTGGCACTGTGTAAGTGCTGCGTTAGTGCCAGGGTACACAGCACTTTCAACAAGTGCCTGAACCTTCACACGAAGTGTGAGTATAATTCTGCATGGCTGGGGATCAGCTGATTGATCTGGGAGTGTACTGATGCTGCTAAGACAGCTGGGAGTGTTGACAAGTACCAGTGGTAATGCTTAACACGTGAACCATGATACCAGGACCACGGTGGACCAGTAGACCTGCTGCCAGGACCACAGTGGACCAGTAGACCTGCTGTCAGGACCACAGTGATCTTGCTGCCAGAATCACAATGGACCATGATCCCAGGGCCACAGTGAACCGTGGACCTGCTACCAGGATCACAATGGACCTGCTGTCAGGACCACAGTGGACCTGCTGCCAGGACCACAGTGGATCTGCTGCCAGGATCACAGTGGACCTGCTGCCAGGACCACAGTGGACCTGCTACCAGGACCGCAGTGGACCTGCTGCCAAGATCACAGTGGACCTGCTACCAGGACCGCAGTGGACCTGCTGCCAGGATCAAAATGGACCTGCTGCCAGGATCACAGTGGACCTGCTGCCAGGACCACAATGGACCTGCTGCCAGGACCACAGTGGACCTGCTGCCAGGACCACAATGGACCTGCTGCCAGGATCACAGTGGACCTACTACCAGGATCACAATGGACCTGCTGCCAGGACCACAGTGGACCTGCTACCAGGACCACAGTGGACCAGCTACCAGGACCACAGTGGACCAGCTACCAGGACCACAGTGGACCAGCTACCAGGACCGCAGTGGACCTGCTGCCAGGACCACAGTGGACCTGCTGCCAGGACCACAGTGGACCTGCTGCCAGGACCACAGTGGACCAGCTACCAGGACCACAGTGGACCAGCTACCAGGACCACAGTGGACCTACTACCAGGATCACAGTGGACCAGCTACCAGGACCACAGTGGACCTGCTATCAGACCACAGTGGACCTACTACCAGGATCACAGTGGACCAGCTACCAGGACCACAGTGGACCTGCTATCAGACCACAGTGGACCTACTACCAGGATCACAGTGGACCAGCTACCAGGACCACAGTGGACCTGCTATCAGACCACAGTGGACCTACTACCAGGATCACAGTGGACCAGCTACCAGGACCACAGTGGACCTGCTATCAGACCACAGTGGACCTACTACCAGGATCACAGTGGACCAGCTACCAGGACCACAGTGGACCTGCTATCAGACCACAGTGGACCTACTACCAGGATCACAGTGGACCAGCTACCAGGACCACAGTGGACCTGCTATCAGACCACAGTGGACCTACTACCAGGATCACAGTGGACCAGCTACCAGGACCACAGTGGACCTGCTATCAGACCACAGTGGACCTACTACCAGGATCACAGTGGACCAGCTACCAGGACCACAGTGGACCTGCTATCAGACCACAGTGGATCATTGGTAGCAACTGTTATTGGTGAGTCATTAAGACGTAAGGGGAGTCAGAAACATGTTCCACTCACTATGGTTCACTGCCATTTTCACAGAGCAGTTCTAATTCCCTGTAGACAAGTGGATATTCCCCTTACAGTGATCAGTTGCTACAGTGAGTCACTATTGTGTTGGCTGGACAGTGAAATACTGAGAAGTGTATGTACTCACTTCCCTTCCCCTCGTACCTCGAGTGCATCTGAGTGAAAACACTAGGAGAGTGGAGTGGGAGGGGTAGGGAGTTGGGGGCAGGAAGTAGAGAAAGTTCTCTACCCTCCCATACCCCTCACTCCCTTTTCTGTGGGAGATTTCCGCCCGTGTGGGTACTGGTGGTGGTGTGTTTCTTAACTCATTGTCACCACCTATCACCTGGTGGATGTTATATTAACACCCATTTGTGTTAATTTTGTTATATGATCTGCCTGTATGTTAATATATCATCCACTAGTGTGTTAAGTTTAATATATTATACACCAGTGTGGTAGCTTTATATTATCATGCACTAGCGTGATGTTATCTTTGTTATATCATGCACTAGCGTGCTGTTATCTTTGTTATATCATGCACTAGCGTGATGTTATCTTTGTTATATCATCCACTAGCGTGCTGTTATCTTTGTTATATCATCCACTAGCGTGCTGTTATCTTTGTTATATCATCCACTAGCGTGCTGTTATCTTTGTTATATCATCCACTAGCGTGCTGTTATCTTTGTTATATCATGCACTAGCGTGCTGTTATCTTTGTTATATCATGCACTAGCGTGCTGTTATCTTGGTTATATTATCATCCACTAGCGTGCTGTTATCTTTGTTATATCATCCACTAGCGTGCTGTTATCTTTGTTATATCATCCACTAGCGTGCTGTTATCTTTGTTATATTATCCACTAGTGTGTTATATTATCATCCACTAGCGTGCTGTTATCTTTATATCATGCACTAGCGTGCTGTTATCTTTATATCATGCACTAGCGTGCTGTTATCTTTGTTATATCATGCACTAGCGTGCTGTTATCTTTGTTATATCATCCACTAGCGTGCTGTTATCTTTGTTATATCATGCACTAGCGTGCTGTTATCTTTGTTATATCCACTAGCGTGCTGTTATCTTTGTTATATCCACTAGCGTGCTGTTATCTTTACATTATCATGCACTAGCGTGCTGTTATCTTTACATTATCATCCACTAGTGTGGTAGACGTTATATCCCAGTTTTTGTACATTAAAATTATGTATTTAACAAGTGGAGTCTGCCGCGTGTACTGATGTGTTACCGTGCAGAAGGAATGCTGGTGATCTCACCGGTGTTACCAAGTCATCGATCGCTCAGGGGAATTCTCCAGTATCTTCCTTCTTTTTTTTTTTGGGGGGGGGGGGGGGTTCTACCTTTTGTAAATTTAGTAACACTGTCATGAAATTCTAATCTGGACCTGCCTAGCATGGGTCATTAGGCCTGTTGCAGTGCTCATTTTTTGGATATCTCGTCTACCTGGAGGGTATTTCGGGGATCAACGCCCCCGCGGCACGGTCCATGACCAGGCCTCCTGGTGGATCAGGGCCTGATCAACGAGGCTGTTACTGCTGGCCGCACGTAGTCCAACGTACGAACCACAGCCTGGCTGATCCGGCACTGACTTTAGGTATCTGTCCAGCTCCCTCTTGAAGACAATCGGGGACCTATTGGCAATACCCCTTATGGCTGGTGGGAGGCTGTTGAATAGTCTTGGGCCCCGGACACTTACTGTGTTTTCTCTTAGTGTACTTTTCACTGGGGGTATGTTGCATCGCCTGCCAAGTCTTTTGCTTTCGTAGGGAGTGATTTCTGTGTGCAGATTAGGGACCAGTCCCTCCAGGATCTTCCAGGTGTAGATTATGATGTATCTCGGTATTTTATACCATTTTAATGTTCAACATCTTACCAGAAGATATCAGAAACACTGCTGGAACAAGTGTAGAAGCCTTCAAGAGGAAACTAGACAAGTATCTTCACCAGATGCCAGATGGATATGTGTGGCAGCGGGCCTCCAGCAGCATCAGCCTGATTGACCAGGCAAGCACCAGACGATTTAACTCTGTTTACCACTACCGTCTGGATAACACTGTCACTTGGAAATCTCAGTAATACGGGAACATGAGACTGGGGATGCACTTCAGCTAGCTTAATGTTCCATACTTGGCAACGATTGTGAATAAGGAGCATGTGTAATATCTTTCGTTGTATATTATGAAGGCTGCGCCAACCGCTGGCTTTTTTTTCTTCTGTTCAGTACAGAGGTTAGTTACTGGAAACAGTGAAAGATGAGGTGGTCAGTCCCTCAGAATTGTAAGGTGCTCAGTGATCACTGAAGCATCAGCTTGTCATTGTATATAATTAAACTAGTGAGGAAACGATTGTCAGCAACTCGCAGGACTTCGAGCGAATTCTTGGAATGTCATTTTTCAGTGATTTAAAAGTAAGTTACTTAACCAAACACTTACAAAAGTTTATAACACGAGAAAAGTGCTATTTTCACACTGCAGGATTTTTGAGAAAAGTGTTAAGAGGCACCTAAGTCTTCTAACAACACGCCATTTTTTCAGACCTCTGCAGCACATAAGAACGAAGGAACACTGCAGCAGGCCTACTGGCCCATGCGAGGCAGGTCCAAGTCTCCTACCGGCTCAAGCCAATGCACCCATGAATGGTTCAGAGAACCATGAATTAAGGAAAGATCCTGGACATCACATTGCGAAACAGGTGAAGCAAATGCGATAATAATTATGGACAAGGTAGATAATAGTGGAAAAATGAACATGTCTTAGAGAACAGACGTACTTAGGTGCCCCCTTAAGAAGTGTACGTGAGCAAATTAGACATCAGAGAACTTGGACCTCCATACTAAGGCTGTCTACTGAGAAGAACTTTCTACTTCTACGTACATTAAGAACTAACCCTTAAACTGTCCAAACGTAGATCTACGTTTTTTTTTTACATAAAAAAGGGTAGATCAAAGTTTTTTTTACACGCTTTTAAATGTAGAAAAAGATGATCTACGTTTTTTGCATACTTTTAAATGTTGCAAAAACGTAGTTCTACGTTTGGACAGTTTAAGGGCTAACTAGTATTTTCTGGAAGTGAGAGACAAGGATAGTGAAACAAAAGTACTGAGGAGACTTTTATTTAGATAAGGTTCGGTTTATTGGCCAGTTTGTTCAAGTCATTGAAAAAAAACTCTCTGACCGCGGGTTCAATCCCGCGGTCAGAGAGTCTCAAAACTTCAGACCGTCGCGTTAGCCACTGGACCAGCTAACCACAATAAGATTCGTCCAACTAGGTATATTTCTACACCATAGGAAGGTTAGCATAGGCCACCACTGTGACCACAAATGCAAGTTTTTACAGACGAATCCTATGGTGTAGAAATATACCTAGTTGGACGGATCTTATTGTGGCTAGCTGGTCTAGTGGCTAACGCGACGGTCTGGAGTTTTGAGACTCTCTGACCGCGGGTTCAATCCCGCCCATGGTATGGTTTGTTTGCAATCGTGTCATTACGATTTCGCGAGTCTTGTCAGTATGGAGACAGGCAGGTGGCATTATACTACAGACT